AAGTATTTGGCCTCTTGGGATTTTATTGTTCTGTAGAGGGGAGCAGTATTGTTTTTTTCAGTGGCATTTAAAGAAGCAAGATGAGATAGGTAGTCCCTACAGAAGTAGCAATCTTTTGTTGTTGTTGTTTTTGACCCTTGAAAATCACTGAGCCAGGAGACATACAATTTAAATCCAAGGTCATTGGCTGTAGTCTGACCAGAATAGGTAATACTTTTCCTAGAGAATGGACACAAAACATTGATGTTATGTTATCATGACGTCTGGGAATTTAAGTTACAAAAATCCATGACTGAGAAGGTTGGCGTCCATTCTGGTGTGACCACAGTTAGGGCCTTGGCTACAGTCAGGTGTCTTCTTAACCTTGAAGCCATTCCTTGCACTCTACTTCCTTTCATCAGACCATCCTATCTTGAATCTGATAGTATGAGGTCAGATTTTTAGGACGACTCAGTTAAGAAATAGTCATTGAGTTCCCACTGTGTTCTTATCACTGGATTGAACCCAAAGTAGCTTCCTTATGCAATTTACGTTCCAGCATACACCAGTCAGAAGGTGACAAATTTTTTTATTAAACTAAAATCGATTGAATGAGGGGGAAATGGCATCATCAGCGCCATTTTATGGGTGAGGAAATTGGTTTCCTCTGTGTAAGTGACTTTGCTGAGTCCACATAGTGGCAGCTCCAAGACAGGAGCCACATATCCTGGGACTTCAGGTCCCAGGCAGAAGCGTGTGGCAGCTGCAGGGTCTGTCAGAGCTCAGATCTTGGCTCCACCACTTGCTAGCTGCAGGATCTGAGGCAAATTCCTTACACTTCTGCTTCCTCCCTATGAAATGGGCTTAAGTACTACCTACCTCATACGTTTGTTCTGAGGATTACATGAGGTAATGCACGGAAAATGATTGACGCGTACTAAGTATTATTAGTATTCCATTATGAATAATAGGCACTAAATCAGATTCTGTGGTTGTAAAACTGAGTAAGGCGGCACCAGCCAGGGAGGCAGACATCTATGTAACTGACCTCATGGCTGTGAGATAGACTCTGGGTGAGCAGTTGGCACAGTGCTTTGATGGTCGGGGTCATCCAAATGATTGTGACCATTTGGAGCTGGGGAGCGGGGGTCCCAAAGGCTCTGGACAGAGCAGATCACAATGAGGGGTAGCATTTCACTCACCTTGAAAGGGTGAGCCCAGTTAAAGAGGCACAATTGTATTAGTTACCTATTGCTGTGTAACAAATTACCTCATTTTTTTATCTCATTGTTTCTGTGGGTCAGGAACCCAGACAGCCTAACAGGTTGCCTCTGGCTCAGAGTCTCTCAGGAGATGGTAGTCAAGCTGTTGGCTAGGGCTGCAGTCAATCCTCTGCAGCCTAGACTGGAGCTGAAGCAACTGCCTCAAGGTCACCCAGGTGCCTGTTGGCAGGCCTCTAAAGATTCACGTTCAAGTTCACTCACATGGTTGCTGGCATGCCTTAAGTTCTGCTCACACACTTGGTTTATCCTGTAGAGCTGGAGTCAGCACTTTTTCTGTAGCGGGCTAGATAATAAATATTTCAGGCTTTGCAGTTCATACAGTATCTATCGCCACTACTCAGCTCTGCTATGTGGCGTAAAAGCAGCCATAGGCAACACATAAGTGAATGGGCAAAGCTGTGTTCCAATAAAACTTTATTTACACATGCTCAAAAGGGGCCTAACCCCGGCTCTAAATCTCTACAAGTACAGCAGCATGGTTTAGCAAAAATAATATTGGCAGTCACTTAGCTTCTTAGGGCTTCAGTTCCTAATCTGTATTACACGTGGATTGGATTAATATTTTCCCAGGACCTTCTCACCCCACAAATGCTGTGAGCCTAACTTTAATCTTCATTCACAGCAGTTTGATAGCCATTAATTTGTTTTTGTCTCTCTCGGCTAAAACTAACAGATTAACCAGATTGTCAAAACACCTTTCAAATCCCACTGTAGCATGGGAGAAATTTAGCCATGGACAACTTATGTGATGTGTCCAAGTCCCTCCTGTTAGTCCTTGTAGCCTCAGCCACTCGTGGTGTGGCTGGCCAGCTTTGGGGCAGAGAGCGATGGGCTCCTGACTGACTGCAGGGACCTTACCTGCCTACATGAGAAAGGAGAGGCCCAGAAGCTGGAGGACCAGTGGCATCATCCTCTACCTACTGGTGGTCAATTGCTTACCTGTGCTAATACAAAGTATGTGATCCATAAGCTACCAGCATTTAAGACTCTTAAGATATAAGTACTTAAGCAATCACACATAGTGGAGTCTCTACAAAAGGTATGTGACAATACGACACCGCCCCCCCAAGCATTTTCCTTAAACTCATTGCACAGAAATCTGTCTAGTATTTCCATTTGTACCACACTTGTGGTGAACATACAACCTGGTTTTTCTAGAGCAACAGTAGTATCAGATCAAGGTCTCAGAAGTTGAAAGAGGTTTAGATAACATTTGTTTGTTGTTATTTTTGAGGCTCTCTGTATATTAAAGTAGTAAAATAATGGCAAACAGGATTATAAGAAATCAAAAATATTTTAAATACATATACAAATTGCAATATTATATACATGCATAAAGGTGATAAAATGTTCCTATTCTCAAGATAAAGTATTAGTTCCTAGGTAACTGCAGGTGACTTATTGTGGAAAAATGGGGCTAAAGTTCAAAGTTGTATGACAAACTTTGTCCTCTTTCACGTGTCAAGAGTGTACACTTGAGGTGCTTCATGAATGGGTAGCCCAGGTAATTGACCTCCTATAGCCCATATTCCCTGCGATGATAGTCTCGGTTGCATACATCCTATCATATTGAAGACTCCAGGGTGTCAGTGAAGAAACTTACGGTCTGAATCCTTGTTCCACCATTTACTAGGTGTGTAACCTTATGTGAATTACTAGTTAAACTTGCTGTTCATAAAATGGAGCTAGTAGTAATGGTTACTTTCAGAGTTGCTGGGAAGAAAATGAAATAGTGTCAAGTATCAAGCACATGGATGCTCCCAGTGCCAGATACCAACACACACACGCACACACACTCATGCATCAGATTCAGAGCCCCAAGTTTTGGGTTTGAAAATCTGTTGAGTGCAACTGTACTACCTTCCTGAGCCCAGTGATGTGTGGCACTCGCCTCCCTGAGCCCCTGTGTGTAAATGAGCTAACAGCACTACAGCTGCAGGGACTCAGCCCTGGGTTNGGGAATGTAACTTTTCATTTGTATTTTTATTACTAGTGAGATTTGTTGCATACCATTATACAGTATTTCTACCACACAGATACAATAGCTGTAAAAAACATAGAAAACAGTAAAATAATTAGGAAAGGATGAGTTTTGAGTATTTATTAACTTTGTTTTTGAAATAATTTGTTTACCTATACTTTAACAGAATTTAATTTTTTAATATCACCCCATTCTACAGGTGAGGAAACTGAGTTTGCTTCAGTGTCACATGACTTTGCTGAAGTAATGTTTTTCTCTCACTAAATGTTAGTACTCTACTGGGAACTTAATGCCAGACATCCCACCACTTAAGATTGATTAACTCAGCGGGGGAAGTTGGGCCATAGGGTCACTGTTAATTGGAGGTCAGTGGTGTGTGACTGAGGGAAAATTGTCTGGAACATGCATTTGCCCTTCAGGCTCAGAACGCTGAAACCCTGTGCTGGAGCCAGCCAGGACTGGCTGGGGAATTTTCGAATTTTGGAAATATTTTTAAGGTGATATTAAAAAATTAAATTCTATTCAAGTATAGGCAAACAAATTATATTAAAAACAAAGTTAATAAATATTCAAAACTCATCCTTTCCTAATTCTTTGACTGCTTTCTGTGTTCTTTACATCTATTGTATTTGTGTGGTAGAAATACTGTATAATGGTACGCAACTAAACATTTCTTTTCAACTTTGTGTTCAGTGACTAAACATTAATTACTAGCTTGAAATCAGCCATGAAAGGAGCATGTAAACCATGGAAATTGGCAATTGCTATAAAGTTTCGGTTTAATGTTTTGCTGCTTGACCATGCTTAAGAATATGATGAAGAAAACATTAATGAGAATTAAACATAAAAGTTTGCTGTCCATAGCCATTACATGAGAATAACACAAAAACTCCTGAGGAGATATTTCTTCCAGTATTCAAAAACTATTACCTGATTTACTAAAGAATTTGCTTATTGTTGTTAACAAACAAGTGGAATTCCACTGTGTGTGCTCATTGTTTCATTTTCACCTAAATAGTTAATATAAATGAAAATATCAACTAAAATTCATGTCGGGACTATACTTATTCGTCAGTTGTGACTATAGATTAACTGTGAGGAGTCCAGCAAAACTCAGTTAAAGCGTTCTGTGACATTCCATTTGTCTATATGGAATTTATAATAAAAAGAAAGTATTTATCATATTTTGTAAACTGTGTACTACACATCCTTTATTTATTATAAACATTTTTTTTTCTGTAGAACCAGTTGTTAAACATTTGCCAGCACACCATCGCCTGTGAGGTATGACTGGTCACAAACTTTTCACCTACCAGAACTGCAGAGTAAAATTCATGCCTTCCCCAAAATATTGGCACCATTTTGAATATAGTTGAAACAGGAACATAACTCTTTATCTCGTTGTTTAAAAAACGAGAGGCTAGAAAGCATACCATCTTCTGGTGTTGAAATTTCTGCATTAGTCCACCAACCAGGAGTGAATACTGTCAAGAATTCTTCAAACTAAAATACCCCAAAATGGGTTACTGATAAGTGTCTCCTAAAATATCATGTGTTTTGTTACTGGTACCTGTGCTCTTTTTTCCTAATGAAGATTATAGGATCCGTTTCCAGCTATCTCTGGCTAATGTGGTACGATTTTATTTCCCCAAAAAGAATAGTAAGTTAATACACTTTATGTATTAGCATATCAAGCTAAGAAAACACTGAGGATTCAAAAATTGGGAATTTAAACCAGTCTCATATTTACTTAGTTGAGTCAATTAAAAGTAGGTCAAGAGCTTATCAATTTCTGGTTTTCTTTTACTTCTACCCTGTACCACTCTCTAGAAATACTCTTGTGATCTGTGGATTGTCACGCATATTTTTATATGCTCAGTTACTCAGATCTGCTTTAATTGGTTTTGGACTGTTTCTACAACACTATGTTTCCGCATTACATTTCATTCCCCACTGCAGAAGGTGGGGCCGTTCTATTGATTTTAGCTTATAAATTAGCAAACTTCCTGTGACCACACTTTTTTACTTTCTCTGAGCAAACTTTAATGCACAAAATTCTGAGAACGGCCCTCCTTCCCGTCTTACTCTGATAGACATGTAATGTTTGTTAATAAAAAAAAAAATGAATGAATGAAAAAAACAACAACTTTCAAAATTTTCTGGAAAAGTGTTTATGTAGGATTAGGAATGCTTAAGTAGAAGGGATAAAAATAACTGGCAAGTTATATTTGACTCAAATTTGAACAGTCATCTAAGTGGAGACAAATCATGTCTGCTGAGTTCTTGGTTCCCTTAGAAAAGTAGATGGATTGCCAACTAATGGTGGGAATCACTTGCAATGTACATTTTCCTGGT